TTATTTAACAAATTCATCTAACATCTACAAAAAACCAAAAGAAGGGGAAAATAAATTACTGTCAATTTTTTCTTCTTACATAATTCTTAACATTCTTGTTGTGGTCTTTATAAGAACCCAATATCTTACAGAATACAAAAACTGACGTCGTAATTTCCTAATAATATTATCTCTGTGGAAGGGAATACAAAATAACAAAATGAAAAATAAATCAACAAGGATAACAAAATTTAGCTTGTTAAATTCTTTTTCTTGTTTGTTTTGATTTTTTTTAACGTGCATATAGCTCAGGAGTGTTTTTGTTCCGTTATAATATCTCAATACAAGAAAACAAAAAATTACTAAATCGTGATGTTTGTTTTTCCATTTCCATAAAATACCCAACTTTAATAAATTTTTAAAAATTTTTTTTTACTTTATTATTAATTTTTGTTTTTTCAACAGGGATTCAACAAGGATTTAACAAACTTTCTTTATTCTATTAGTTCTTATAGGACTTTTAGATGCTCTTTATTAATTTACATTTAAAATTTTACAAGACATTTTATATGTACAAGAAAAAATATTAACTATTCATCTTGTTAGTCATAAGATACTACATGATTGTACTATATGATTATCTGTTTAAAAAGCAAAATCACTTCTTATAAAGTATAGTTCAATTGAAAAATCACAAATCATGATCACTAAATTTTATCAATTAATGCAGGGCAAAAAAATAACCTCCTTATTAAGAGAAACCAAGTAGCAAAGCTATGAGTGCAAAGAAAGCTCTGCTTAAAACTCTTAATTTTTTGTTTCAAATTTTCGACAATAATACTGCTATGACAGTAAAACTTCCTAATAATTTAAAATTTAATATTTATTTCAGGATTTTTCAAAAATTTAGCTCTAGTGCTCAAAATTTGATACAAAGCACGTTAAATAAAACTGCAAATCTACAAAAGTGACTTTAGTCTTTAATAAATCTTCGCTACAAAAGCAACACACTCGAAAAATTATAAAAAATTTTTTATAAATGCCACAAAAGTATTTTACGTTTTAGACTAAGACAACAAATCTACGTACGTTTGTGCTCTCATAAAAATGCCCGATATTGGACGTATTTTAAATCTGGAAATATACTATTTTCAGATTTTTTTATTTTAATTTTTTTTTTTTTTTTGCCATTTGTTCTTAATTTTAAATTTAACTTATTTATTATGTAATTTTATACAAAAATAATGGTATGTTTGTAATTAAACATTGTACACTCTATGCGAGCAGACCTCGCTCTTCAGAGAAATAAATAAATAAATAAATAAATAAATAAATACTAATCTACATATTTAGTTTCGGCATTATTTAAAAGAAGATTTTTAAGGACCATGTTAAAGTTTTAAATAAATATTTAAATAATAGAAAATCCCCTAATTGTCTAGAACTTATCGTCTAGATGAAAACTGCACATAAATTATACAAAGTTATTTTTCAATATAGGAATGAATTTTTTAAAAGTAATACTTTCAGACATTCTAAATGAAATGTCAAACAATGAACAATATAACACCATTCGAGAGAAATTTAATTTACAACTTGTATAAAATATGAATATTCAACAAGTATAATAGTTCATAGCATTGTACAACATTCGTTGGCAATGAATGTAAGCATTAAAATATCAAACCTTGTTGGTAGAAGTGGAAATATATTTGTTTATATGAAAGTGGATACATCTCCAAATATGTATAACATATTAATATATAGTATAATTTTGCTTTAAAATTTATGTAAAGGTAAAAATATTTAATAAAAACCAAAAAAAAGGAACGTTAGTGGCAAAATCGTTTACGTTAACCTAATAATGTTATAAAGAAAAACAAATTATGATAAAACCAAGAAAATTTAATAAAATTCTTTTTTATTGAAATATTTACGAAATTATAAGAAAATTATCAAAAATAAAATTTGAAATTTAATTAAATTAGAGAAAAGAAGTAAAGATATTATATGAAGTGTACTATATAGTATTAATCACATAACAATTTATTAACTATAAAACAATCCTTCTGCTGTTAATTGTTTATACAATTATTATTAACGGGCAATATTTTATTTGGAAAAAAATAATCTACTTATTTTGACGCGAAAAATAAATAATCAAATATTGAATTAATTAAATAAACTTTTATATAGGAGTTGGTATATATTTTTGTCGAATATACATTCCAAACAATGGGGCATGAGTTGCTTTCATATACCAAAAGCAATTCTCTGTATCGTGGCAGTGCAAAAAAAATTTTCCAATGAGATATCTGTCGGGTGTCGGTCCGTACTGAAATTTATGAAGCACAATTCAGATCTTAGCAACAGGACTCCTGTTAAGTATCGACGTTCATATCCACTCATTTTTAAAAAAATATTCAATATAATTATATTTTACAGTCGAAACGGTTTTTATAAATATCAAGGACAAGTAACCTGTGTCTTTACTTAAAACCAATATTCTTTTTCTGCATTATCTAACGTAATAAATAAACTTTTTTGAAATTTAATTCTAGAGTCGTATTAGAACGATTAACGAGTCCCACTCTATTTGGTAAACGCTTTGCATACTCTAGGAAGGTTAAGTAGTTGGGGGTAACCCTAGATGATCGCTTTTCCTGAAATACTTGATTGTTAGGTCCATCCTCACGAATGCGTCCGTGGTATGATTCCGCAAGGTGGAACCGCCAGGTGGGCTGACCAAGTTGGGGAAACTGATTTATTTGGCAATTACAGGAGCAATGCGGACGACTCCCACGGTCGCTTTCGACACATTTGATGGACTGCGGCCGCTGCATCTCTTAATTGCGCGTGAGGCTCGTTTCCGAAACGGAATCAGAGCTGGGGTCGGGTGGGTACGGAGTACGGTTGGGGACGCGGATAAGCGGAAGTCTGGATCCATATTCCCCGATGTTTCAAGCTGAAAAACATGCAATAAAGTGAACTTAGAAAAATGATATAAATTCGCACTCCGGGAGGCAGCGGCAAAAGGGCAATGAGATCAAGAAAAAATTGCTTTGTCAATATCTCCCTTCAAGAAAAAAAACGTTTCTTTGTCTGACGAATTAAACTTTTTTCATGAATTTAAATAGTTAATTTATTTTTTAACTACTTTTGCAATAAAACAGCAAGAATAAAGAATTTTTCTTTTTCATTTCTAACATATTAAATCGTTCAAACTTTGTTTTAATTCGTTAACACTTCTATTTTTTATGTCTCGAAATTAAATAATATAGAAGTGAAAAATTACTTTAGAGTTTTGAGACTTTTTGTTTCACAAAGTAAACTTTCACTCTTTTTTCCCTTTCACTTTTCCATCGTTAATTTACAAGTTTTGTTAAATACACCTACACATCCAGATTTATATTTTATAAAATATTTGAGAGAGAATAGTGGTCGGCCGTAACGCCTTACTTTTCGTTTTAGTATAGTTAAGACTTTTTTAAACTGTACACACCTTAAAAGCAGAATTTACGAAAGAAAAGCTAATGTTATAGGAATTAATAGAATTGATCATTTCATATTAACAGTTAAAGAAATTTTTTAACTCTTGAAAAAAATCTTGAACTCCTTTTTAGAATCAAACGTCTCAAATTTCAACTTTCAAATAAGTGTTCGCTCAACAATACCAGAAACCGAGTAATATATAATTTAACAATATTCAATCTTAGGTATGTCAAACAATAAGAACTAATTTGTCATACCTCTAAGAAACATTACAGACTTGGTGCAATAAGTATGCAAATACTCTGCAATATTAGCACGAAAGACATATTTCATAAAAATATAAGTAAATACATAGATATTATACACACTTACATATTTATGTAATTATACTTAAATTTATTAGTCATTGAAAGTTAAAATCTCCCAACTACATATAAAGAAAAGATCAAAATTGTAAGCATAATGGGAAGAATGTGAAGTCAAGTCACATTGTTTATTATACTTTAATTACAAATACGCATATGATATACGTACGCAGGCAGTACGCAGTAGTATTTAAGATTTTATTCTACTCTATGAAAATTTTTAATGAATTCATAACACATAATGCTAAACTTTAGCTTCAAAAAGAACAGTTTAGGGAAAAAAATGTTTTTTTTTTTTTTTTTGTTGACTTTGAAAAACCAAATGCCTCATATATTTTAAATTAAGATTTTATACTTTTTTTTGAAATAAGGTGGTTTAAGAAGTTATTACAAAATAAAAATTGTTGATTTCGTTAATATATACTAACATACATACATATGTGTATATTAATATATATATATGTATATATATATATATTTAACAAATGTATAGCAAAAGTTGAATGTAATTTTTAAGTATAAATGTCAAGGCGATAATTGTTGAATGTCAAGGCATTTTTAATGTTGAAATTCTAAAACAGGCACATATGTACATATGTATACATATGTAGGAGCATTTCGGGTAACAATGTCAATAACATTTTGAGTAGCTGACAATATTTTAAAATGCAAGAATAGTACAAGGGCAAACGTATTAAAAAATTTTGAACCTCATGGTTTTAAAGCTTTACATAACTATAGTAAATTTAAATACAAAAATAATCTTTTTTGCAATTTAGAAAAAAGAAAATAAAACAAGATGTTGCGCTTGCCTATTAGGAAACAGTTCAAGAAAATTTTATTAAGACTATAAATTAAAAATGATTATATACAATAAATAAATTTATACTTGTCTAAATTAAAAATTTAATACTTTTAATGTGCATACTTATGTGCTCACAAAACACGACGAGCGTTCCGCAAATTTTAGGAGAAGTTCTCACACATTTGCGATGAAATAAGAATTTTATTGTCCTTTAAGGAAGTTCTTAATTATATTTCTTATAATTTTTATAAAAGATTATAGTTTTTTAAATTAGAAATTTAATAAATAAATTTAAAAATATTTTTTTCCTTAAATTCATAATAATGTTATTTTACATTTCTTCGTTATTTGCTTTACAGATCTGTAAGAATATATAAGCAAAAAATTGTATATTTACTAAATAATACTAAAACTCTGTCATCACAGTACCTAAATGAAAATTTATTCAAAAGAATCTTAATGAACTGGTAGACTAAATAAATAGGTAAATCTACTACATTTATTTTTTTTCCAAAAAAAAAACTTTTACAAGAATATTTTTAATAGTGATAAAAGAAAAACAAATTTTATTTTTCACTTTATTTTTATTAAATTTTAGAAAAATTAACTTTCCAGCATTTAATTTTAATATTTATTTCGTTTTTGTTTGTTTTTTGCATATGCATTGTACGCCCAATTGGCCAATATGAATTCATTTTTTATTATTTATATACAGTTAGACCATTATTTACAAAACATTTAGCGGTTAAACTAAGCAAAGTTATTTTGATTTAGGGTTAATACCTTTTTAGATGGTGAAGTTTTAAGATCAGGTTGAAATGTTTGAGATTCTAACTTAAAAAGCAAAAATATGCTTTTGTGAAAAATCACAATAGACTTCTTAGCAACCTCAGTTTAAAACTGTAGTTTTTAAACGAATCGGATAAGAATGTCTGCACATTTTGAAATATATATATATTATCCTTTTACGAGCAGTACATATAATTATTAAAATTAATAACAAAATCGTACTAATCGTACTTAATTAAAAATCGTACTGCAAATTTGATATAATTAGGTATAGAACTGAATTATAAAGAAATTAATGTGGTAACCAAAATAAATTTACAAAACAGTTTATATTAAAAGTAAATTTCAATACATATTCATTTTTATATTTTGACGCGCATCCTTAAATCACAAATTATAGAAAACCGAGATTTTGCTGTATACTAAAAATATTTTAACTACTGATATTGACCCTGAAAAAAAAAGTCAATTTGAATTTATAGCCTAAGGTCCTCTTTACATACTTAAGGCTAAATTTTTATGAATTTTAATGAAACAAAAAAAAGAAATTCTTTTTGTTTTTTTTTTTTCAAGATAACAAGAATGAAAAAAATTTCTTGAATAATTTTAATTTTAATGTTTATGGAAATTTTTTGTTTAAGTAAATACAACTTTCTTTTCTTCTTTTTTTCTATATGAAAATTAACTTTTTATGTGATCTTTCTTTTAACTTTCCTTCTTTTTTGTTTTCTTTATAATTTTTTTTTTATAATAATTGTCCTTAAATTTTTTTTCTCTTTTTTGTAGAAAATAAAGAAGTAGAAGAATAAGTAGAAGACGACGATTAATTAAATGGCAAATAATATCCTTTTTGTGTTATCAGTGTGTGCGGTCACATTTGTGATAGATGAAATAGCAGCAACTAGAAATATTGGATTCATAGTAAGTGACTAAATTCTTTCTATTTTATTTCTTATGTAGATTATTTTATATACAAGTAAGTATAGTTGTCGTTCTGTTTTTGAAACCTTTTTTTTTTTTTTGTCACAAAATTGTTTTTTCCCGTAATTAAATTGTTGTACCTGGGTGTGCGTTGAAAAAGTGATTTAAACATATAAATAGCACACTTCAAAATTAAAAACTTTAATAGATTAATTTTCTTTCTGAATGGTTTAAAGTTGAAAATAGTTTTTATTTCACAAAAAAAAATTAATTAAAACCAAATCAGAATGAAATTTTTAAAAAATGAAAACTCAATTTATCACAATACAAAAAAGCCTTTTGCTTTTCTCTTATTGGGTGATGATTTAAATATTTTGTGCATATTTATAATAAACTTAAGAATTCCAAAACAATAACTAAACTAACTAATATTTTTTGACTTACACTGAATGATTCTTTAACCTGTTTAATATTATTTTTACATATTTTGTTTGAAAATTTAATTACAGCCAAAAAAATATCAAAATTCCTTTTCAAAAGGAAACTCATAAGTATTTCTGATTTTGCACTTTCAAGCACCTAATATAAACACTAAAACTAAAAAAATCCCATCAAATTCCATTTAACTCAAAATATTTCCTGATGCTTCTCCAGGTTCATATTGCGCACAGTTATAGTAATGTACAATTATTAATATGAACTGTTTCCTTTCTTTTGATTTTCTATTACTATATAAGTTTTTCTTTTCATGAATTTTTTTTACAAAAACTCTAGGGAACAAAAGGTAAACGTGACAGTAAAGAGGATGAAACGGAAAGTGCAGCATCATCAGTATTAAAAGCGACTATATCACCTCTATCCGCAGAGGCTACAAATCTAATTGAAAATGAAACAAATGGGATTTCTAGTGGAAATAATGAATTGTACTTGAGGTAAATAACAAGGATTTATTATTATTTGTTTTTTTTTTAATCTATATAAAAAGATTTTATCTTTATAATCATTTTTTTTTTGTTTTGAAATCTTAAATAGAACATAGAAATAATTGTTTTTTATACACTTCCTTTAATAACGATACTGTCGCGTAGGTTGAAAACTTTTAAATTTTTTATTTTTATACCATAATTACAGTGATTTATATCACACTCAACAAACTAAACATTGCGAAAACAATGCAAGGCTATTTAAAATATATGAATGCAATATTTAAGTATAATGGATTTACAGAACTATTTATAAAATTATACATTCAACGTATCTATGTGCAGTTTAATAATAAATCTTAATGGATGATGAAAGAGATAAAAAAAAAGAGCACATTTAAAAAATTTTATCAATAATTACTTAATTTAGATTATCTTAAAAACTTAAAAAATATTCAAAACATAAACCGTAATAAAAATTAAATTCTCTTGATATTCCATATTGTAAATTTGACGTTTTTTATACTCACAATGCTGTGATAGTGTAAATAATGAATACAAGAAATTCGTATTTAAAACTTCAATTTAATGATTGCTTTCAAATAATTTTATACTTGCAGTAATCTACCAGATCGTTCATTGTTTAAAAGAACACCATCTGGTTTTATTGGTAGCCGTGGTAAAAAAGAATATGAGTATCCTGAATCTAATAATGGTAATTTAAATTTTGAAGAATTCGACCCAACCTATTTAGAACATAATGCAGCCTGGTTTAATAGTCTTCAACAGAATTCTAAACGAACACCAACTGGTTTTGTTGGAATGAGAGGTAAAAAGAAACCAGCATCAGGATTTTATGGTAATTGGCGACCCATTTTTGCTTTTAAAATGTATAAAGAAAAGTTTTATTCTTAACTGAATAACAGGTGTTCGTGGTAAGAAAGATTCAAGTCTTGATGAACTATATCAACAATTAGAAAATATATTTGAAGATTCACCTGATTATAACGATCAATTGTATAGTGCTACTGAATATTTTGATAATGAAAAACGTTCTAATCGAAATGGTTTTGTTGGAGTTCGAGGGCGTCGTTATCCTTATGGTCTCGTCCCACATTTAGAAGAACTTGATAAGCGTGTACCAAATGGTTTTGTTGGAATGCGTGGTCGACGTTTTGATATAAATGAATTTGAAAATGATATATATGATCAAGCTGAAAAACGTAAAAATAATAATGCTTTTTTTGGAGTACGCGGTAAAAAAGATGTTTCAAAACAACTGAGTCAAATGAATGAGATCGATAAACGATCACCTTTAGCATCATATTTTGGAGTTAGAGGAGAGAAGCGATTATTTGTGAGTAAATAAAGCAAACATAAAAATACGTTAAAAAATTAATATATATAAACTATGTTTCCATTTATTCTTTTTTGGGTATAAATATAGAATTCAAATGGATTTTTTGGAACACGAGGAAAAAAACAACCATATGAATTTCGTGGAAAATTTGTTGGAGTACGAGGAAAAAAATCTTTCATAAATAATAGTGGTATGGATTTAAGTTTAAATGATAATCTAATTGATTCTGACATCGAGAAAAGGACACCAAATGGTTTTGTAGCAATGCGAGGTTAAGATAAGGTAAGCGATTGTTTACTAACAAATATAATAAAAAATGTGTTCCCTAACTTTTAAAGTTAGTAATTAGTCAGAATTAAATTCAGTTGTTCTTACAAAAATTTTAATACACATTTGTATGTTAACAATGTAATTATACTTTTACATGTTATTTTTGATATGAAAAAGTCCTTATATACATGACAATTCCACTACTAAGAGTACTATATGTACTTGTCACTTTGTTACAAATGTCTTATAATTATTCATTATAAAAACAATCTGCAAAAGAATTTATAATAAATTTACATAAATTACCTAAAAAAAAACAAACTTATTATAAGAATTACACAAAAAACAAAAATTTAAATTCATTTTTAAAATTGATTACGGTTGTCATAATTTTTACATTAAATTACATACACCAAAATATTTCAACATTGTACAGAATTAATAAATTGCAAAAGTTTTAAACAAAATTAGAGGAAACTTAATTTTTCTATTATACATATTATACTAAACAAAGTAAAAAAAAGAAAACATATCACTTTCATTTTACTAGAGCATGTCAGTCAAATTCACACATTTTTGTCGTCGAAAATAACGTCATTGCCTTTGAACTTTGAATATAATATTAAGGTACATATGTATATAAAAAAAACCATATATTATGGGCATGTAAACTAAAAATAAATTTGGGTTTTTACGTTTGTACACAAGTGTATAACACTCAAGCATATGTTTGCTGTTTGTTATGTATGTACACATGTTATTATCGCTATTTAGGGTTTAGCATACCGTTATAATCGTATCAATATTGGATTTGGAAAGGAACCTGGTAAAATTTTCAAATTATTACTAATGAAAAAAATTATATCTCCATAAACTATAACTATTATAAAAATTTGAAAAATTGTATCGTAATTGAATATCGTACTTACGAATTCCAAACATTTGTTATGTAAACTTCGCAACTGCTTTTACGGCGAAAGCCAATTTTATAATAATCTTATGGATATAAAAGCCACCTTTAAAGTGCTTCTACCGACCTTATTTTATTTCTAAGTGCACAACTATACGAACTTTTATTTTAGTGTCAGAAGGATGCTTTATTTTTTTTTTTATTCTCTTTCAAATTGTTGTTCTTATTGTTTACATTGTTATTTTAGTTTACGTAAATTCTTAACTTTTTATATTTTTGTACTTTTTGGAAAAATTTTTGTTTTTTGTATTTATTTTTATGGCATGTTTTTAAATAACTGTAACTTTTCTTTAAGAGCATTTTTCTGTTTATTAAAGGATTTAATGAGCGATTCCTTGTTGTGTACATATCTTGTTTCATTAAACTTTTCCTTTTGCAAATAATTTTATTCTCTTTTTTTGTTTTTGTACATCACTATAAAAATTCAGACAAACATCTACAGGAAATCAAACATAATATAAACAAACCAAAAATTAAAAAAAAAATGTGTACCACATTTACGTTATTCGTTGTTATTTTCTCGAATAAATTTCTGTAGTGAAAGTACATATATGCATATATATGACATATGTATATACATATGTACCATAATTCGTGAAATCTCTGTAGGCCTACAAACACTAATTTTAGGTAAACAATGCTTTTAATGTTGCCAGATATAAGGAGAATGATAATAAATTAAAATTGTTGTTTTCAATTCTCAAACTTATAAGTTAACTGTACATAATGTACATATGTATATGCTAATTTCAAGAGTGATTGCAATTAAAAAAAATTTTTATGTTATATTACAGAAGTTAATGACCTATTCGAAAAATTCATTAACTCAGTTGAATTAATTAAGAATTTGATTTTCTTTCACTAATTGATATCGTGTAGTTTAAAATTACTTATACGTTTTGTCGGAATTTTTCCAAGTGAGTATATTTCAGCCATGATTTTATTTTATGGTTATGCGTTCAGAGGTGTATAAGCTCGGAATACTTTTACTTTTGAAGTTTTTTCACCAGTTTAGAAGTTTTATAGTAATAGTTCTTTTGCAAATTTGCTTTTTTAACGAGCTGTTGTGAATCAGATTATTTGAGCTATATTACAGTATTGTTACCAAAAAAGAAACATGAGTTTTTTTCTATATATTTACTATATTATCATTTTAGCGCCAAACAATCTATATTCCCTTTCGAACGCCCAACATAGAAATTTATCTTTTAAATACTTGAAATATTGTTTAAATTATATAATGCCTATTATTGTGTATATGTATATGTGCCTGAAAAAAGAACCCAAAATTTCAATGTAAAATTTCAAACATGTTTATGAAGCAATTAAAAAAGTGAAAATGAACCTCATTAAATTTTATTCTATATAAATGCAGTGAAAAAACTTTTTCATCTGATCATTCTTTTGTTTTTTACTCTTATACTTTAAAAATATAATATGTACGTATGTATTACACTATTTTACATTACACAATTGTGAAAAAATGGAATCACTGTTTACTCACTTCTTTTATAATAAATTGTTGTTTCAGTTAATATTATTGTTTAGCATTACTAACCCAAATTAAAGCGATGAGCATATACATACGTAGACCTGTAGTGTATTTCATGTAATTATGCATGAGACTCTTGAACAATTAATCATATGCATATGTAAGTTTATAGAGATACTAGCAAATATTTTCACATTATGTTTATATATCCTTGACTTTGCACATCAAATATGTATAACCTTAATTTTCGTTTCCTTGTTGTTTTATAAATTTTTATCACAAATCTTCCATGTTATTTAAAACACATATTATATAATATGATATTATATGCTTTATATTCAATTTATTATGAATTAGTTTTGGGAAAAATTATAAAAAATAAAATAGTTTACATAAGTTTGTTTTCAGAAAAAATAAAAGATATAACTTAATATTATCGAAAATTATATTATGTCAACTCGATGATCTCTATAATTAATGAGAAATCTTAATAAAACAAAAAATTTAAATCAGAAAGTAAAAGTAAGCTACGAAGAATAATATTTCTTCATTATATACTATACTGTATCAACCCGATACCGAATAAAAAACCAACAGTTACCAAGAAAGAGCGCTAGTGTTCCTTCGTATAATAGAAAAAGACTATTTATTATTAGGAAAAAAAAAGCGGAAAAACATAATAAGGTTATTAGTATAAAACAACAAAATGAACGCTATACTTTTGATAATGTCTTTGTATCTAACAAGTCCCAATACTCAATTTTTTTTACGAAATGTTACGAATTTTTGGCCTCGTTGTTGGTTTTTTCTTTAAATGCCACTGATCGTGTCATATTTTTTATTATTTTTTTCTTTTTTTTTACGTAAAAAAGAGATTAATATTTTAAAAAATCTCAGGATATTATACACATTTTTTAAAAAGCTTCCCATCAGCGTTCCCACTTGGATACAATTGTATCCATTTGGATACATTTTTGCTTTAAAATTTAGCTTGGATACAAAGATACTCAAATCTGCTAAAATGTCGAAATTGGATACATTTTAAAATTTTGCTGAAATATGGATACATTTCTTTCTCGAACACTAAATAAATGTTAGAAAACTTTTAAAGTGCTGTAACTTTTATGTGCATTATCTTCCAAAAAATGTTATTTGCCGACTAAATAAAATTTCCCCGTTTTCGTGCTGAATCGTTTTTACCGCATAGTTCAACAGCTACAGAACATATATTTTCTGACCTTAAATTTTAAAATGTAATAGAAATTGCGTGTGATTTCTCAAAGAATTTACTATAAATAATGAAACTCACATTGTTAAATAAAGCAAATTAATATTATTAATGAGTTTATTGGTATAAAATAAGGCGATTTAGTATAATAATTCTACTTTAGGAGGCTGGATACATTTTGGATACATTTTTTTCTCGAAATTGGATACATTTTGTTTTTATTGAGTGGGAACACTGCTTCCCATTTAAATTCTATTGCACGAAAAAGAAAGAAAGGTAGGAGGAAAGAAAAAATGAAAAAAAATTTCAAATTCATATTTCAGTATAGTTTCAAATGTTAATGAGGGAGGATGTATGATTTTTTATGCACATTTTGTATTTCCCAATAAGGTAAGTTGAGTAGTGTCGGCTAACAAAAATTTTAGTAAAATTAATATAGGTTGACACATTTCAACAATTTGAATTATCTCATTTCGGTTATTCATACGTTACTTATAAAATTGTTTCAAATAATTTCAGTTAGTTTTTAAATTATTAAAAGTAAATATGTATGTACCTACTTCCAATAAATTTTTTTTTAAATAATTATTTTAAAACTATTTCAAACATGTTATATTGAGTGCTTCAAAAATGTTGCTGTGCTCTTTTTTCATTTTTTATTAGCAGGTAAACAAGAGCAATCTATTTATAAAATGTCCCTGCATGTGTATGTATGACCTATCTTAATTCTAAACGGAAAGAATTTTAAAATACCTGAACAAAATTTTTAAAATACCTGTTATTTTACAGTCGGAATTTTTGAGTCATTTGGTAAAATACCATTTATTTCAAAAATAGAAAAATATTCAAATCCGGTCATAAAAATATATGATTGTTTTTTCCAAACATTTTAAATATTTTTTTTTCTGAGGTAATTGATATAAATGATAGTAAGTTTTTAATATTTTTTCAAATAAAAATAGAGGTAAAATTTTGAAGTTTATATAAAATTTGTATTTAACAAATAATATTTGATTGTATTTTAGATATTATTTTCTAATTCCCTCTTCAAATTTTTTCTTTACTATGTATTTTTATCAATATTTAAGAATTATCTTTCATTAATTATATTTTCAACTTGACACCACAGTTACTTCCCATATCTTGCGTTAACTTACCCTATGAGAAAAAAAAGCTGTTCACTTAAAAATAATGAAATGCTTTCAGTAACAAATAAAACGTTGAAAGCGAAGGTTGTGTTTGTTGTTTTTCCGCTTTTTTTTAAATTTTAAAATAATTATCAATGAAAATATTAATATATTTTTTTGATTTTTCAAATATATGTTCTAAATTTTACCTGCTTTATAATAAGTGTGAATTTATTTTAATATTTCTTCTCAAAAAATAGCCACTTCGATTTAAAAAAGGCCATATAAAATAAGGTGTGCTTTCAAGTTTCTCTCTGAGCATTGGGACTTGTTAGATATAAAGACATTACTTTTGAGAATTACTCTTGTTACTGTTGGCTTACATGACTCCTATCTATGCCCTATTTAAAATCAAAGTTCGAAACTTAAAAATTTTCGACGAAAAATTAACTTTGCTAAAAACAAGAAGTTCATTATAAATAATGAAAAGTAAAAATTTAATAATCAAAATTTTATAAAATAAATTTATAATTTAATATTGTTAATATAATAAAACATTTTTTTTTCATATTTTTCAGATTTTATTTCTGTTTGTTTTTTTTTTCATCGCTTTCCCTGATAGTTTTTGGAGCGATTATTAGAGCAAAAATTAATATTAAAAAAAATTCCAACCACCTAATAATTATTAAAATTATACATATAATTTTGTATTTTAATTTCCTATTTATATGTATTTAAAATAAAAGTACATATTAACAAATATTATACTTAAAATAATTATTACGTAAAAAAATTTGTGCAACAACAAAAACCCACAAAATAAAACTAAATAAAAATATCGCTGAAGTATATCAACAAAATATTAAACCAATTAAAATAAAAAAAATATAAGTACCTTTTAAATATAAATTGTTCCAAAATTTTTCATCATCAAAATTATGTAAAAAACAAAATAAATAAAAAAAAACCTAAAAATTTAAGCATTAAATCATGTTAAAATTAATTTTTGTAACAATTAAGACGTAAAAATGATTGGTGGAACATTGCTACTATAAATAAATTCAATGTGTACAATATATATTATGTATAACTTTATCGCCAAAATACATAATTTATAAAATTTCCTTCATAATAAAAAAAAAAATCAATATACCCCCAAAATATATACAAAAGAAAAACCAAAAATTATTAATATTACATATGCATATTTATAAAAAAAAAACAAAAATAAAAATACCTGTTTCAGGAGCCCAAAATCTTTATTTCCAACTATGTATTTAATTCTAAATCTTGCTAGATTAAAAATATATATTTATGTAATCGTAATATATTTACATAATTATATAATATATTAAAATAATCATATGTACATTTTTAATTATCATAAATTAAATTTAAATAATCGAAAATAAAAACTTCGATATATTAAGGCTGGAAATATATTGAATTTTTTATTAATTTTTAATAAATATTATATACAATTAGTAATATATTTTAAAAATAAATATAATATAAATGATTAAATTGATTGTGAAAAATATTCTTATTAATACAAAATTATTGCACTTATATAATGTACATAATACATAAAATATATATACGTTGTTGGTGAATTTAATATAAAAGGAACAAAATAAAAAAAATTGCACAAAAAAGCATATTTTACTTTATATATAAACGTACATAATATATCACATACATATATTTATATACATATAATAAAAAATTTATAATTAAAATTATATTAAATATCATTACATATTACACAGTCATTATTTACGATATATTCATATATACAACCTATATTTATGTATTATCTAAGATATATAAAATATAAATTGAAAATATATTTTAATATTAAAAATATTGCTATATTTTAAAAATTTAAATTATAATTATATTAATAAAAAGCATATAACTTGTTTTATTAATTTTAAACTAACACATAATAAAAGTGATATAAAAAAATAAAGTAGTAGTACATGCATACGTATATATAATAATTTTCTATTCGAGTATATAAAGATTAATTAAAATAATTATTTTCTTCCAATAACATATATATATAGCTATAATATCTTGATTTATATAGTAAAGTTTAACTAATTATTCCTTTATGCTTATATTGTATAATAAACTTTATTTTGTTTGCACTTGATTGGAAGCACATGTATAACATATATATATATAATATGTATATATATATATATTATATAATATATATATAATATATATATACAGTATATATATTATATATGTATATTATAGATATGTATATATTATATATACATATACTCGTATTATATAATAATATATATATATATATATATATAATATATTATATAATATATTATATATATATATATATATATATATTAATGTATCATAATTATTATGAATATATTTTAGTTTGATCATATTCAAAAACTATTAGCAAACATTATTTTAACTTTCCGAAATAAATTATATTTTTCAAAATAAATGCATAAAATGCAATTTGATTTTTATTCAGTTTAGAAATATCGATATAAAATATACAATAATTGTACAAAAAAATTACATGACACAAAATATAAAAAAATATATACATGTTTGCTATTTTATATTCATTTTTTTTAACATAAATATACAGTTATAAATGTTATTTTGAAATTTAATTGTATTCATATATTATTTGAATATTCAATTATTTTAATTATTAAAATAAATTTATATAGAATGCAAGACGTTCTCCAATTATTTAAATATTTTATATTGATATACATATACATACATACATAATTATATAAATAATATGTACATATCAATAAGTACAAGATGTAATTATATGTTACACTTAGATCTGTTAAATTAAATCAAATTTCGTGACATTTTTACTTTTTCCATAATATAGTCTGTAAGTATTCTAAAGAAAATGTATTTTACTTTAAAATTTTTTAAAAAAAAAAATTATCTTTAACAATATTATTTTTAATTGACATAGAAATTTTAATTAAAAACACAAATTTTGCAGAGTCATTTAACAACAAGTACCTGAAATTGTGTATTATAATTTCTTTTGATTTTCTGTTCATAATCACATAATTTTAAAGTATATTCAAAATTTTTTGTGCATTTAAAACAAAAAAAAAAATTATTTTATTTAGGTAATAAAAATGCAAATTATGTACTACAACAAGATTTCCAAATTTCAAAACAAAAACTTTTTAAAATAAAATTATTAAATAAAGTAAATTAATATTATATAACGTGCTAATAATTTTTTTTTCACTATGTGTACCACAAAAAAATACAATTTTCCTTTAATTTTCTTAAGATATAAATGTGCACATATAAAAAAACCTTTATACAATATTTAACATATTCATCTTTATAAAATTTTAATAGGAATAAAAAGAATTTATTTAGAAATAAAATAAAGTAAATATTCAAAATTAATTATAAAGAGGATTTATAAAAATGGAAAGATAACCTCCGTTACTATTATATGTACTTACCCCTTAAAAAAAAGGAATTAAAAATTTCTAAAAACATATCAAAGAAATATTAAAATCGTGTATACATACGTAGTATATATACATACATAAATATGTATATAATATAATAAAACAAAAACAAAAAAAAAATACCTGTAATATTTATGTTTTAAAAAACAATTTATTTATATATAAAAATTAAAAGTATGTATTATATAAAAATTATATTAAAATAAACTTGTACAAAAACAAAAATACAAGAAAATATAAAAAAAAAAATATTATGGAAGAAAATTAAAGTATTTTAGGACTTAAATCATGAAATGCAGTGCTCATTTATTATTGAAAAAAAAAACTAAATGCAAAAAAAAATATAAAAAAAAATAAATAAAAAATATATATATAAATGATAAAATAAATATTTAGTTTCATTTCTTAATTTTAATTTTATAGAAACTACCAACAATTTTATAAACTGGTGCCAATATCATTTAATTAATTTTTATGGTAATTTCAAATACATATGTATTTTATAATTCGAAACATTTGTAATTATAAAATTTCTACTAACATGAAAAATGTATAATGATTAATTTCAATTTGATTCGAGTAAACGAGAAGAAATCAAGCTTTAAAAGTATTAAAATATTTATAATTTCACATAACCTCCATTATTGTATGCAATGCGGTTGGGATATAATGGGATATAAAAAAAAAATGGGATATAAATTTCTCTCTCTGGATTTTCTCTCAAGTTTTTGAATTCATTGTTTCGAAATGTTCAAACATTACTTTTAAATTAATTTATTTTAATAATGCCAAAAGTTTATTTTCCTTTTTTTCTTTATTAATTGAACTTTCTTGTTATTCATGCATTCGTAATATATTTGTATATACATATACATAATGTATGTACATATGTTTATTATTTTTGAACATCAATTTTGCAAAAGAAAAATTTTTAAAGATTCAAAGGGATACGAAAAAGAAAATAAAAAAAAATTCTTATTTATTTTTTATTTATATGCAAATTTATATTTTATTTCGTATTAGGAATTTTAAATTATATATATGTATGTTTATATATTGAAAGAGGTTAAACAAAATACATACCAAATATTTTATAGCAAAAAAAAAAATTATTAGTCTTTTAAAATAAAATTAATAGTCACAATCTTCTTAAATTTCATTAATGATTTCTTTTACAAAAAGGTATTATAAAAATGTTATATAAATTTAAAGGAGTAAAAGATTCAAAGTGATGGTAAGTCTATACCTTACAAATAGATTAATAAAAAACCAAGAAAGTTATAACAAAATTATGCAGTTTAAAAAGTATAAATAATTTACCTAAGCTTCTACTGTATATTTAAATTTTATGATCAGTATGCGTAAAAATGAATACAAAAATTATGGTAAATTACACAATTTCGCTAACTAAACAAATTTTTTTATTTAAAACTATGAAATTATAAATAAGAACTCTAATGTTATAAAAGAGAAATATTAATCTATGTCAAACAGCTTAGTCTTAGAAATCTAAAAGTCCCAATCTCTATTTATGAATTTTTTTTTTAAATTGATAAGCGGTAGACATACGATCAATTTAGTTATTAATATTTTGGAAATTTAAAAAAATGCTATTAAAACGAAATTTTTTTAAACAAAAAGATGAGAGTTTTCTTATGTATGGTGGTGCTTCGTAATATTTTAAATGGTAAAAAAAGCCTTACAAAAAATGTTGTTATGTAATAATAAAATAAAGAAAACCAAATTATTTGCTATTGTTTTTCCTGTTTTTTCGTTTAACACCTCGAGCAATCATGATCCAAAATTTGATTTTTTTTTTTAAATTCTTATAAAAGAAATTTTTTTTTTATTTTACAGAATTATCGTGAAGACAAAAATCAAAATAAAAATAAAACTTATTCTCTAAGTATTCTTAAACGTGATTTGAAAAATAAAACTGGAGACTGTTACGAAGGATAATGCAAAATTTACTGGAATAGACAGGAAAACACAATAAGAATATTTATTTGCAATGGTAGGCTTTTATTGTTTTATAAAATATCCTTAAAATCGAAAAATTAACTTTGCAAGTGCTCGTACCAACTGTTGAAACTCTATTTCTATGGGAAGGATTGGGTTCTTGAAATGTTGCTGCGACAGAAATCAAGTCATAACGTTTTGAAAAACACTATATGCCTTGCATTCTTTTGTCAGCGATAAAAAAAAATAATTCTATCATTATGGTTAACATCAAAGATTTTCTTTTGCACATTAAATTAAAGCATTAAATTATTAAAATAAAAAAATAAGTGTTTTTTCAATTCCATTCAAGACAAACACAAAATTATTCAAAATGCTGTCTTACAATTTCTAATCTGATATAATCCTTGATATTACATAAAATTTTGCTGATATCTATGATTCTCTAATAAAGAAAAAAGATACCCAAAATATTTGCAATAACCCTCGTATAAAAAAAAAAAATTTCCTTAACTTTAACATGTTTTAAATGTTATAGATATATTTTGTTTTTTCCAAAAAATTCTAAATTTCACTGTACGATATAATAAAATGTTATATCGTACAACGGTAATAATGCGGTTGTTAATAAAAATTTAAATATCCTTTTTTTTTTTATTATTCTAATAAGCGCATAAAATTTTTAAAACTTTCTGATTCTAAATTTTTAAATGTTTGTTTTACATTTATCCACACATATGTGTACATAAATATTGCCCGTAGGATATAACAAGTTTGTCTCGTCGTTTCTAACTAATACAAAACAAGATGTTGTGCGTGAACTACATATGTACTGCATCAATTAATTATGCACGTCTTTTCT